ATTTTGTTTTGAAGCAAGAATTGGAAATTGTATATATAATTCCAGGAGAGGAGCCACTACAAAAGTGGTGAGGAGTAAGCTGAGTAAAACTTTTGGTTTATGATCCAAGGTGAAGCTAACATAATCAACTAGCCTGACGTTATAAGCCGATTCTGTTGCTGAGGAGGGAGCTTTTTGTTTCCAGAATTTTACCAACAAGCCAGCAACATCTTGGTGGTGTCTCTATGTCAGGGATAAATGTTTATTATGTATGTCAAGAAGAGGATGGGATCACAAATGTTAAACCTAACTGGCACCACCAGCTCTCTAACACACAGGCAAACCTGATAAATTCAAGTGACACTCAACTCGACAGTTCTCCTGATGGGGAGTCATACCATTTTTTTATTTTACCAATGCTTTGTGATACAGAGGAAACTTCCGTTTGACTCAGCTTCTATTGGTGGGGATGATGTTGATTGTAATATAAGGTGGCTTGTGGACTTGAGCGCTGGGTTAGGCTAACAGAAGCTATGTTAGCTGCAACAAAATAATGTTAATATAAAGTTATAAGCATCTTGTGTTGTTGTGGTGTGACAACTTGATGAAGTGTTGAGAAGTGTTTTTTGTGGTTTGTCAGCTGCAACAACCGGACATTGTAATGTAAGTCAAGTTCAGGCAGCTCTTCACTCATACTTTTGCTGCTGTCGTCCAACTCTATGGGAACAGGTTTCATCACCATATTTGGTCCTGTTGGCTCAGAAAGCATTGGTTATTGGTTTTTAACTTTGTCCTTGGTTCTTTGCACCTCATTAAAACTCTCAAACTTCATTGTATCAGCACTTAAGTTAAAAACCAGTTACACTAGTCTGAAGAACAGTGCTGTACTTAGCACTCATAACTAAACAACCAATACATTGACATCACCAGCTAGCTTGTAACATGCCTGCATCCTGCTGGTGAAAATGGTGAAATACAATCTAGCTGTGCCAAATCCAGGTGGATATCAAGATTGATTGCAGTGTCCTATCTTACCCAAGGTAAAAGTCAAACAAAAAAAGAGTTATATTGTTCAGTGTTTCATCTACGTTCCACTCTCTCACCTCAAGATATCTGAATGAAAATGGGTTTCCACTGCTTCCCACGAGTCTCCCCTTGCAAAGGCTTGTTTCCATGAAATGTTTTGCTCTCTACAATCAATGTGATCCTTCAAATTAAAGCTGTATATTTGTCTCATTAAGGAAAAGGACAACTATTGTCTATTTGAAGGACAACAAATTGACAAACTTGTATAGATACATAACACAATAAAAAAGGACTGCTGTGGAACTCAAAATGTTTACTGTACTGGTATTGAAATAGTTTTCAACTAGCCTGTATACTTTAACAGCATAACTGAATTCCTGAAATTCTGTTAGGATTTTTAGTTTTGGTGTGCCACCCAAAGATTTCCAGGGGCCCCATCTAGCCACTTCTATGAAAAATGTGGGGGGGCACCACTGCTCTTTGTACCAGGGTACAACAATAATGACACATTGTGTGAACTGTGTCTAGTGTTTACAGAGAAATATTGCACTGAACACAGAATAGAGAAGTTGCCCGGGCCACGAGACTGGGTTCAGATCCTTCAAGATCAGATCAAACTTGCCAGGAGGAGGCTGAAAAGAGGTACTGCTGTAAAGTCTGTTTCCCCTTTTTGCTTTCTTTTGTTGGGGTAGTTGTAAACTCATATTATGCAAAGGGTTTGTGAGCGTGATCAAAGGAAGTTTAGCTATTATTATTAATGCAGTAAGTTTACTAGTATGAGTCAGTTACAAAGGTCCTGTTTACACCTGGTAATTACATGTGTTTTGGGTGTTTGGACCACAAATGGACAGCTTTAAATACAGGTGTGAATGCATCCATTTCACCCAGTGCATCTTGAGATCTAATCACTCAGATCACATTCAGAGGTGGTCTGGGCTGTGTATGGCCATTCTGTCAGCAATATGTGCGCCAATATGAGCTGGGCCACATTAAAGGACCACCTACTCAGATGACATCCTTGCATATAGACTCCCTGCCAGCAGACCCAGCACCAAAGGACTGTCAGTTTGCCCGCTTAGCACAAGCTAATACAGCAGCAGCTGTTAAACAGTCTCAACAAACTCACACCAACACTGAAAGAGTACAACACCGTCATTAAACCCGTTAAACAGTTAGCTTTGTCACTCTGTGTGTGCAGGCAGACTCTCGCCAGTGAGTGCATAGCCATAGACAAATCTCCATTCAGCCCACAGACTTAATGAAATAATGGACATAGCCGCCATGACATCACCAACTGGTTTGTGGACTCTTGTTACAAACCAATTGGCCATCACCATCTTGTTTGTTTGAAGTCAGCAGTGACCATGTTTAGGTGAGACAGTGGAGCTGACTCAGACTATAGTGACGCCTTGCAGACAACCTCATGCAGCCACACCCTTAAATATGCATAACTTTGAGCCTTGATGAAATGTAACCAAGTGAGTACCTGTACAGTTGACATGAATGGGGAACACTTACCAAGCTGTAAACATGGAGCTTTAAGTAGCCATTCAAGGAGCTGCAATTTTTGAAACTTCTGCACTGACCTCATTTTTCAGCCCCGGTGGTTGCTGCTTTGTTTGGCCTTTGCGAACTGAAATTATGCAGGCGTTTATTTGCGCATAGGGCAGGAAAGTGCGATCTGATCACAAGTAGTCACTCAAGGCATGTGGAAACATATTCTAATGATAGGTGTGAACAGGCAGACTTTGAGCAGTCCACTTGTAGTCCAATAAGCCAAGACACATGTTAACATCAGGTGTGAACAGGCTCACATACAAAATTATCAGTCAAAGAAGATGCTTTCTGTGAACAAGTCAGGTAAACCATGTTCATCCTTTGACTCCTTAGATGCTGCAGAAGCAGAAGAAGCCGTAAATGGACCTTCCACAAGTATGGACCTCATATTAAAATTTTCACACATGCAGGCAGCTAACACACACACAGACACGCATAATTCTACCCATTTATTTAGTTGTCTACTTGTGTCTGTCTCTGTCTGCACCTGCAGGTCCTATGTCAGTATACAATCTCACACCATCTTTTCATCAGCACCCCCTCTGAGCCCACAATGTCTTTATGTCTCACCACTTCACAACACACACAAACTGGTTCTGCTGGCTCGCTCATTGGCTCGTCTTTGTCACGCTGTTGCTGTGACATTTGACATTCTCACGCAGCTTCCCGAAATGTCAGCTAATTATCTTCACACCATGCACCTTATCCCCTCTTTCACCTTTCTATTTCCCTCGCTGCCACAGTAGCATGTCTCCTTCTGCTCTCTTAGTTTTATTTTTTTTCAAGTAAGGCTATCAGACCCATCAAATGTGTTGTGGCTTTTATGGTAGTAATATGTAAAATGTTAACATTATTTTCTTCCTTTCTTCACAGGCTGTGACTATAACAAGACTGCGAGTGTGGAGGGGACGGTGGTGAACATGACTGGTTGATTCAAGGGTTGCCACAGTAGCCTTACAGCAGATCTGTTGTTTGTTCTCATTACTTCTCTAACTTGATGCATTTTGCCACTTTAGATATTTCCGTTGCAGCTGTAATCTTCTCTGTGTTATGGATGTAAATGGAAAAAAACAGTAGGACCAAATGAAGAAGACGCCTGCCTAATGATATCCTCTCCCTCCCGCCCTCACACACACACACACGCACATGCGCACTCCATCTTTTAAGGTCCATGAGACTTTTCACCAGACAGATATTGGGATCTGGGATTTAAGCCAACAGACACTGAACTACACAGTGGTTAAAAAATGTCAGCTCATTTTTATGTTCAGAAATGACTTACTGTTTACATTATAGGCTATAGCTTTAACTTGCCTAGTTCTCATATGTCATAACTAAGAGGAATCACAAGTCTAAGATGAAATACTGTAACAGTATAGCATCTGTATATTTTGCACAAATTACTTTTTAAGGGAGGTTTTCCATTGTGAATTGTGCCTTTTAAGTGACCAGTACTTCAGTGGGTGTAACGTGCAGTGCAGCATCAACCTTAATTACAAACATCACATCCAAAAAAATATCTGATGTATTTTTGGCCAGTTATGCCAATTAAAAATATTAATAGGCGACATCTGGCTGAAAATATAAAATACACAGTATTCTATGAATAGTTTGTTTTCATTATTAGAATCTCTAGGCTCTATGCATATCAAGTGTGCTGTTGTTGTTAATATTGTGATGAATTACTTTTAATTTTTGGCTCTGTGCATATAAAATGAATATTAAATATGGTTTCCTGAACATTTTGTCTTTGTGTTGTTTTTTATATGCTAGACAGCAAACTTAACAAAAGATAAAATGAGAAAAAGACTTCATATTGTTGGATTTCCTCCTGAAACATCTATACAAACAGGAACATGGATTTGTTTTAATGTTAAAAAGCACTGTGGCAAACATATGTGTTGCAATACTGACATAATAATGTCAAATATAAACTCACAATTGCATATTTGATATATTTTATGAGCCTCGGCTTTTATTAAGTACATAAACTGACAAAAAGGCAATGCTGTGTTGTTGTAGGTGCAATTGGAGGGAAAACAGTAAATTAAAGGTACACTCCATTGTAGAGATTTTGTTGCCAGACTTCACAGTTCATTAAAGGGGATGTTGAAGCCGCCGCTGTACAGGCAGAGGACCCTTTGAGCTCTTGTGAGATTCCTCTCCGTGTAATACACCATATATTGTTTTGTAAAGACGAATCGTGGTCGGATATGAATCTTTATTAAATTATGTATGATAATATGTGATAGTTTATTTTTTTAGTCGTCTATTTTTGAGTTCGAAGACAATTTTGTTTTATTTTTCGTCAGGCTTTCGCCGAGGACGCCCGATTCTGGCCCCAATGCATTCTGGTGCCGTCCCCGCTCTTCTGTTGGGAACCACCGCTAACGTGAGGCTGGTAAGGATAAACTGGACAGAGCAATTAAAGGGGAAATGTTGCAAGAATATAACTCCGCTTTGGTCCTAAAATTGCATTTAGGGCGATCGTAAACACTTCTATTGCACCGCACCATTGCAATCTTTGCACAAGTAGCATGTTTACTGCTGTTTTATGGGTACGAACTCCGATGTTGCACACATCGCATGGCGAGGGACAGGAAAGGGTTAATTTTTTCCGCCGCCGACATTTTTATTCGGCGCTCTACGGCAACTTTTTAACTTACATGTGCAACGAGCTGGCGCTATGTTACCCAACTGTGTATCACATTTAAGCTGCAGCTTGTACAGTGTGTGTTTCTACATGTAGCACAGCTGGCACACTCTGATGGTCCCAGCTCTTTGTTGCTCAGAGCTGCTTATGCCCATCACCTCATGCATTGATCAGCGTTTGCAGGAGCTAGCATGGAAACAGAAACTGCATTTTCAGCAAAACAAACACAAATGTCAGAGATGTGGCTGTCACTATCAGCACTTATTGTCTCAAACCTGAGCGCACTGTAGTTTATAATGTAGTGTGTACACCGGGTAGTCAACACTGATATTGTTAGCCAGTGCCTCAGGGTTGAATGAACTTGGCAGCATTTTGGCTCTTGAACACTCCCACTGTGTGTACCGACAGAGGCCCCTTACTTACAGCAATTATACAACAAACCGGGGTTATAAGTAACCAATAACATACCTGGCTTCTCTGTTAGGTGGTCTAGATTACACACTTTCATGTTAAACCGGGTCATCCTTGTGTCACCTTTGATTGAACTAAAAATATCAGAGTTTATCAGCACACACCAGCTCAAAGTTTTATGTTACCAGTGGTGGGTGGGTGTGTGGAGCATAAAGATGTTACTGAAGGGTCAAACTGATGATATTGAAAAGTTTTGGATGCTTTGCAGTTTCTAACAGTTTATTAGTGTGCACCTTAAGCTTTAATAACCCCTACCAATATTTGTCTCCTCACTAAACTGACAGAATTTCATTTATTTTGTGCCTGAAAATGAAAATGCACTTGATTTTTCTTTCCCTAATTCAAACAGTAGCAATGTAATCTTACCCCCAGTATACATATATCTGGATCATCAACACTATAAATGCACAAAATTACCACATTGGTGAACTGTTCATTAAATGTTGAGATACACCAGAGAGGCGCTGATGTATTTCTGGCGGTGCTTTTATCTGTGACTTATGGTGTTTGGTTGCTTTGGTATCGTGTGTCTGATACTGTGTGTACAAAACAATGTTATTTACTGTTATTAAATGTTGATTCAGTGCTGCATTTATCTCTGTCACCAGGACAAAAGATGACAAGTGCTTAATTGATTAGTCAATTGATTATTTGATCCACAGAAAATTGATCTGCAACAGTTTTGTTTATCAGTTAATTGTAAAAATCATTTTCAGCTTCTTTCGTGATGATTTGCTGCTTTTCTCTGTTTTATATATTTGTAAACTGAATAATAAACTGAATATCGTTAGGTTTTGGGCTGTTAATCAGACAAAACAAGATATATTTAAAAGTGTTTGCAAGGGCTTTTATGAAATTCTGACAATTTATCGGCTAAACAATTTATTGCTTAATTAAGATTGATTGAAATTTTAAATAACTGATAGTTAAAGTCCTAAAGATGACAACAGACTTAAATCAGTAGCCCTCTGACACAGTCACATAGTCTAATATTATAAGCCACACAGGCAGGATTCATTGCGGTGCTGTGGCTTCAGATTTTACAGAAGCTAATTTGTACTTGAAGTTACTGACTTGAAATGATGCACATGGGAGAACGTTTGTGGATAATTCCTCTGATGCAGTGTTGTGAATGAGGCTGAGCTGTGTTGTTTTTATTATAATTATTGTTTATCAAGACCACACAATGAACACAGTTGTCCTCGCCCCCCCTGTGACATTAAACAGTGTTTCTAATCACCTATTTTCTTCCTTCTGTCCTTTGTTGTGGTTCTAGTGGTGAAGACCCAGAGTTTCTTCAGACATGTCAGTGAGGGAGTCCTTTAACCCCGAAAGCTATGAGCTGGACAAGAACTTTAGGCTCACACGCTTCGCTGAGCTCAAGGGCACAGGCTGCAAGGTTGGCTGTCCTTTTCAAAACCTGCCTTTGATGCCATTATTGTCTATGTATAGCTCTACAAATTAATAAGAAATATGATATAAAAGCAATGCATGAAAATGATGGTTATTGTCGTTGGTCACAGGTGCCCCAAGATGTGTTACAGAAGCTACTAGAAACCCTACAGGAGAACCACTATCAAGAGGATGAACAGTTCCTGGGGGCAGTTATGCCCCGATTAGGTAATAATGACCTTCACATAGCACTATATTAACAAATAACTGAAGTTAATAAGTGCTTACCAGCAGTACGGCTTAAACAAGCAACAGTAGCTGTTCTGACTGCAACAAGAATGACTCATAAAATGCTAAATATATGTTATATTGTCAAATATGGGAAGATGACTAAATTAAGTTCTTCACGTGACACTCCCTAAGGTGTGCCAAGAATTCTTCTCTGTGCTTGAAAACCAGTTTTGTGGTGGCATTGAAGACTAAATTGCTTGCTATTAAACTATAAGCGTGTTTCCCTTTTCCATACCAGTGACATCCTGCTGTGTTTTATGTAAGCTCCAAATGGATGAACATTGTTGGCTATCATTTACAGAGGGAGCAAGAAATACCTCAGGGTACAAAATATTTAATTGCCGTAAGGGTTTTGAGTAAACCCTGCCCCCTTAGTTCTGAAATGGACAGGCTACCAGTGTCAACAGACTGACGTGAGAGTAATTTGATGATTTCTTTCTCCATTAAATGGACAGGTCACTCCTTAATGTATTTTTCCTCTTACCTGTGGTGTTATTTATCAAGCTAGATTGTTTTGGTGTGAGTTGCTAAGTGTTGGAGATATCAGGCGTGCCTCTACTGCTAGCTCACCTAGCACCACTAGCAAAGTAACGTTGCAGCTCAGCAGAGGAGGACGCCATTAATGTTTACATCTTGTGTTCTCACAAGCACGAGCCTCTCATCATGAGTAGATGCATGCTTCCCTCTGCACAGGGATGCAGTCGGTAAGAGTAGTTCAATAGAAAGAAAAAAAGTTCTACAGACTGCTCACAACAAGGTTTGTGGATTATGTTGAATAGGCTGATCATGGGCTCTGGAAAAAGATATTGCTGTTGAGTTTGTAAAACATATTTTTGAGCTTTGAGCACCACAGGCTGAGTGCCATCTAGTTCCGTTATATTTGAAAGAAGACAGACATCTCTACGGCCGATATCCCCAACACTCGGCAACTTACACCAAAACAGTTGACATCAAGCCAGGCAGTCAAATATGCTCGTTGGTAAAGATTACGCAAACTTTATCAAAATATCACATACAGAGCTCTTTTATTTTGAAGGCATAGGCATGGACACCTGTGTGATCCCCCTTAGGCATGGAGGCCTTTCTCTCGTCCAGACAACAGATTACATCTACCCCATTGTGGATGACCCCTACATGATGGTATGACCTCCTCTTATATGGATAATACTTTTACTTGTGACAAATGGAAGGATGTTGCCGTTGGCTGTATTATTTAGTGTGACTACATACACCAACCCTTAATGTTCTTAACTTCATTATTTCTATCTTGCAGGGAAGAATTGCTTGTGCCAATGTTCTAAGTGACCTGTATGCCATGGGAGTGACAGAGTGTGACAACATGTTAATGCTTCTGGGAGTCAGCAACAAAATGTCAGAAAAGGTAAGAAGCATGTCAGCTGATGTCAGCTGATGCGTTCGCTGTTGGGTCTCGTTTCAGCCAAATAGCTCTGAAGAAGAGGTAGAGGTTGAACAAACCAAAATACCACTCATTGCAGAGAATCATTTTTAAGGAATTATTTCAGGGTGTTAAGAATGATGTTTTTATTTTTCTGTTGTGCTCCCTGTCTCTGCTCTGAACATCCTGGGTCTTTACAGGAGAGAGACAAAGTCATGCCACTGATCATCCAGGGGTTCAAGGACGCATCAGAGGAGGCCGGCACATCTGTAACAGGAGGACAGACAGTGCTCAACCCCTGGGTGGTGATGGGAGGAGTTGCTACCACAGTCTGCCAGCCCAACGAATTTATCATGTATGTATAGCATATAGCAGTCCCTACTACATATGTCCTTACTTATATATTGCATATTATTTTGTTGTTTTGCAAAAAATCCTGATGACGCAATGTTTTATATTTCTCAGGCCAGATAACGCAGTGCCAGGAGATGTGTTGGTGTTGACCAAGCCACTCGGAACACAAGTGGCCGTCGCAGTACATCAGTGGCTAGATATCGTAAGTCCACCTCACTCATTACACTCTTCATTGTGTCTGGATATTTCTTTATTTTTAGGATATACACTGATGCCATTGGGTGTGTATGTTTTCTATATCTCAGCCTGAGAAGTGGAACAAGATCAAGCTGGTGGTGACCCAGGAGGATGTAGAGCTGGCCTACCATGAAGCCATGATGAACATGGCTCGGCTCAACAGGACAGGTAAAACCATTACGAATGTGTCCAGATAACTGATTTGCAGTCATAGCCTGTTTTTTTATTTATTTATTTTTTTTTAAAATAGACTATTTTTATTGTTTTTAATTAGCATGCTAGGTTGGGCATAATTACATCAGCTGTTGTGGCAGGGAAACAATGAATGGAGGACATTTCTTTTGAAGTACAGCATTGGTCACCATAATGGCTATTTGTTAGCTTTTAAGATGACACACAGTGTTTGTTCCACTGTGAGTAACAGCGTTTGTGAATATCAACACAAACTGAATAATCTTTATTTGTTACCACTGACTAATCTTCAGTCATGAAAATGTTGTACACATCTCTAATTAACCAGTTAATCATCCCGATGCCCTTCTAAGTCTCTTCCTCTCTCTCTCTCTCTGTCTCCCCATGTAGCGGCTGGTCTCATGCACACCTTCAACGCTCACGCGGCCACTGACATCACAGGGTTCGGCATCCTTGGCCACGCTCAGACGTTGGCACGGCAACAACGAAGTGAAGTGTCATTTGTCATCCACAACCTCCCAGTGCTCGCCAAGATGGCCGCCGTGTCCAAGGCCTGTGGGAACATGTTTGGACTCATGCACGGCACCTGCCCTGAAACATCAGGTATGTGTATACATGGATCTGTTTCTGTCTTTCTTCCTTAACCACTATATTTTGAATGTAAATTTTATTGACTGAGTATGTGGCACATGTGTGGATTGAACCTCACAAAGTGCTTCACAAGTCAGTAAGAATAGCTGATGCATAGTTTTGGGCCTATTACAACAGATATTAAGTCACCCTTTGTGTTGGTTTTACAAAAATCCCTGCTGTATCATTCTGAATCAGCTGCAGTTTATCCAGTCATAATTTATTTAGGCAGTCTGATTAGTCTAAATGGGACAAAATGAATGTGAATAGTTTTACAGCATGGAGAGACTACAGGCCATAATAGATGGGAACATTTTAAGTAGGAAAAAATGTAGTAATTACATAATAATTTGACATACTTTTGCTAACAGTCCTAAGAATATGAGTTCGTACAGTTTGAAGTTGGGCTGAAGGTCATATGTACCTTTGAAGCAAGGCTCATCCAATCCTTGAGTGTCACCCATCACACATTGCTAAGAAAGAAAAACTAATAATGATATGTCCAAGTGAAAGGAGAACAACCCTGGGCCAAGAACGTAGCCCTGAGGGACACAAAGAGGAGCCCCAAAACAGATAAATCCCAACAGAGAGTCAGTAATATCAGTCAGAAAACAGGATGAGACCTATTGCACTGCAGCCACATCTAATGGCACCTGGGCCCTGTGCCCCAGGACATCAGTAATGTGATCAGTATCACAGCCAGCACCCGCGTGCAGTAATAGAAATGAGCACTCACCAGCATCACTACACTATAAAAATATCATTTGAGCCCCTTGTGACTGACAAAATCTCTTCATCTTTACAGGAGGCCTGCTCATCTGTCTGCCTCGGGAGCAGGCCGCCCGCTTCTGTGCCGAGATCAAATCCCCAAAATACGGCGAGGGCCACCAAGCGTGGATCATCGGAATTGTAGAGAAAGGAAACCGCACTGCTCGCATCATTGACAAACCACGGATCATAGAGGTGGCACCGCAAGCAGCCACACAGAATGTCAACCCAACTCCCGGTGCAACTTCTTAATCCTCTTTTGCTGTATCACAGACCGGAACCTCTGCTCTGCTGAGTGTTTTTAGACACATAAACTACAAAAACCATCCTAGAGTGTTGAAATATATTCACACAATAGTATGTACACAGAAAAGACTGGGTTGGTGTGTATCTACATGAAAAACAGCCCCACACAGTGGCCAAAGGGGCGTGTCATCAACCCGTGGACTCAACCTGCAGTATCCCCATGATAAAAAATTGGTAAGAATTAGTGCATACTTAAAATCCATTTGCCTTTCGTGTCTATTGTGTTCTGTTATGTTATACGTGCGTGATTGGCAGGCAGCTTTGGATAAGAGAGTGATGATGATGAAGACAATAACGCGATACTGTTGATTCATTTTGAATCCTAGGAAGTCTGGTGTCTGTTGCCTCTTTGGGTCTTTCAAAATTGCTCTCATCCAGCAAGCGGACCGCATGGTGGTGTTTTTGTTTGTCCATTCACTTTGTACAGTTATAAAGCGTAATTTTAGTTCATTGCTGTAACTGATGCCTTGAAAGAAACGGAGTGTGACCAGAATGGTTTGTTTTTTATTACTTTGACTTTTTGTATTGTCCCCACCAAAACTAATAAATATTCAAATAGAAAATGGTTTGTTTTTGCCGCTCATGTTAACGTAACAGGTCAAATGTGACATAACAGTTACTGTCTAAAGTCATAGATGAGAAGAAATCTGCACACCCCTCAGGAGATGAAACCCTCTACCATCTGCATTCCCAATATGTCATCATATTTAAGGTAATATGGTGTATAGAGTTTGCATTATATGGTCACACAATTGTGCAACTGTAAAAAGCAGTCTGGGTTGTTAACAATAAGCACTCTGATCAGTGAGTTTATTGGCTGTTGCCTGTGTTGGAGATCCGGCGCATTTAGTTTTGCTCTCTTAAGTTTGCTGCGAGCAGTCTGACTTACCGATGAAGCTTCCAGCTGATCAAAGTCCAGATCGTTCTTGTTTGTCCTAATAGCCTGGATGAATCTGGAAGGCCTCTGTACATGTTCATATGGATATCAGGAAAAAAGATGCGACCTCCACCCCATCTCTTAAAATAAACTTCTCTTATAATAGATTGTTTTCCTGTCTGTTTTTCATATATTAAAAGTGGTTGTTGAAATGTGTAAAAAATGGAAAATATTAATCAGTTAACAGCATGATGAATTCATTTTTTAGTGATCTGTATGATTAGAATTGCACAAAAGCAGCTGATGGTGAGTTATATGTAATAGATGTATAATGATCTTTAATATTTGAATCAAAAATGACAATGTAAAATGAACAGCAATTCATAAATACAAGCATGTAACATGATTTATATTACTACTGAATTCTTTAAAAAGATATATTTACAAGTTGCATATACACAAACTATAGTGCATATATATAAAGATTATATCTAGATTTATTACATTAGCTTTATATACAGTCTATGGCATCAAAGGAGGGAGAAACAACCATTGCAACAAAAAAAAAATCCCATTATTAAATACACATATTACCCTCAGCACCAAAATAATACAGATCTGCAAAGTATAATACAAAACAGAAATAAATTAGAGAAGTAACAATTATTCCTTTAGTCTGACAGAGTGGAATGACCAGCTCTTACAGTGTGACCCACCAGAAAAGCAAAAAGGTTGAAAGTGCAACCTGTCACCAGAACCAGAGCAAAAAGACTCTCAGGTCATACAGTATGTGAGCCTTACGCAGCATCCCAGCAGTGTGTGTTAGATGTGTTTTTTCCCATTTTCCATATGTACATGCTTTGCATTCTCAACCACCTTCTTATCATTTTCAGGCTTGAAAAGTGCTTGGATGTCCAGCATGGCCTTACAAATGTGCTGACCGAACCGGTATGAGTCCTGCAGGTCACACAAAAATGCAATTACAGTGAGAGAGAGACAGAGAGTGTTGACTTTTGAAAGATAGCATAAATGCTATACAGATGGAACTATAATATGCATTGTTCTTACTGTGTCAGGGCTGGAGAACTTGCTGGAGATGTGGAATGTGATGAGGTTTTCCCCAACAATTATATAAGACACGCCATAACCATCATCAGCCACCTGGTGGTAGTCAAGAGACGTTATTATATTACAAGATCAGGACAACAAGGTTAAACATTATGACTGTGTAATTCATGCACATCTTTAAAATAAAACATTATAACTCACTGGGCCAAATCCACCACCAGCACCCACATATTTAGGGAACTTGTTGATGTCGACCAAATTGAGCTGCTGCTGTGGAGTCTGGCTGGTGGACAACTTCCACGGCTCTGAGAGCACCTAGAAGCAAAGATATAGAATGTTACAGCAAATAAAGGTTGTGAGTGGTAGGTTAAGGGGAAAATTGTGAACCAGAAAGCATAACGATAGAGAGATAATAGATGATAATAGCTGTAACCTTCTTAAGGAATGGCGAGTCGACACCCTGGTATTTGGACACAATGTAAAGACAGAAGAGGTGGCGGTCGATACCAGAGCCAGTCATGGCCAGACGATACATGTTCTGATGCTTATCTGCTGCCTTCCGAAAAAGGGAGAGTCTCTGGGCATTCTGACCACAAAAAACAACCAGCAGAAAAATTAGCGTCCAGGCCTGTATATATGACATCAACATCGAATCACCTTATTTCTGTTAATGCAAGTGTCAGTTTAACCCCGCCATGACACATGAGAGAGTTCAGAGTCCAGGCCACATACGTGCAGAGACACAGTGCCACTAGGTCCTGGTGACCAAGTCCTAAGCAGCACAATGTGACCTTTCACAGCGTGCCTTCTCAAAATGTGACCTCTAATACTAGCAAGTAATACACATTTAATACCAGATATGTCCAAAGTCTAGTCTCCTAAAGGGTTTTAATGTCTTCAACCCTGCTGGACCTACCTGTGAATCTGCTGATATAAATCATATTGAGCCATTAACCATTGCTCAGTCCTCTTTGGTTTTATGTTATGTGTTCCTGGTTTATTTTAAGTGTTCCTGTGCATTGTTGTGTTCTGCTTACTGTTGCACCTGCGTCCTCCATGGCTCTGACAAATGCAACAGCCTCAGAGGTGCAGGAGCGTACTGTCTCTGTCCGACCGTCTCGGAACATGCGAGTCATTGATGACTCATACGTCAGACAGAACACTCCTTGGTCCTAAAATGTAGATGGATTGAAGTCATGTAGTGATGGTGGATGATATAATCAAACTGTCAAAATAAATCAGTGAACAATAATGTGAGTCATGTCCCAATAACGTCAGCCCTACCCTGAACTGTGCCAGCTGCAGGGCCAGCTGAATGAAGGCATCAGGGCTGCTCCTGCACTTCTTGATCAGTCCTTTGCCAAACTCATGAAACAGATAGCCGTGGAAGTCTACGTCATCAGCTATGTGCTTGGCTGACAGGTATGAAGTCTCAATGATGTCTTGGCACTAAAAAAGGAGAAAACAGAAAGATCTCCTGATTCATTTTGTGATGCGAGCAAATACCGGTAAATGCAAATCACATAATTCAATGGCAGTAAATGATTCAAGACTCTACTGCACCTCCTTTGGAATCTGCCACTGCAGTCGAGTGGGATAAGGCAGGCCTTTGTTCACATCCCCTTTACAGTGTCCCTCCTCTGTGTAGCCCAGATGGAAGCAGTCTGTTGCAAGGACATACTACACAGACAGAAAATGCTGACTGATGATATCTGCGAACTTTAAATTATTGTTTTGAAATACAATATCAGCACACATTTTTATACCTCCCACATATGTCCGACAATTGGTGCATCAGCCCAAGAATGTTCAGCGTTTACACCCATTTTGCCATTTGGATAGGAGATCAAGGTGAGAGACTTGTCAAACCACCTGTGGGGAAAAAAGAACAAAGTTTTTTATAGGGAAACAAACCACTTAAAGTCTCAGTAGTGCAGATCTTCCCTTCATTTCTGCCTACCTGTCGCAACATTTTCCATGAAGCAGGGACTTGGCGTAACTGTCAAGTGACTTGGTCTTTGCAGGGTTATAACCCTGTGGCTCATCATCTAGTGTCAGGAAGAAGGCAGCTGACTCAATGTCATCCAGAGACACTTTGTTTTTACCCTGGCTGAAATACTTAATCCGAGCCTGAGCCCATGGAATTCTAGGAGAGGATATCAGAGTAAGACAGTTTTCCATCTTATTTTGTGCATATATGTCCTGTGCATGTGTGTGTGTGTGTGTGAGAGAGAGAGAGATGGTAGACCTGTTTCCTGCAGTCAGGGCAGCTAATTTGAGTTCTCCTGGCTGTGGCTCTGATGTATCATTGAGGATCCTTTGAAACTGCATCTCAAGTTCACTGGGAAGGAGGTGCCGCCCTCCAGTGTACAGCCACAATTTGAAGAAACGGCCCTTGTGGTAGACAACCAGGTGCTTACGGTCATTCAGGTGCTGCACAATATCTGCATGGAAGGGCGAATAAGAAAAGGAAGCATGTGTGGACACGGTACAAAATAAGAGGAAAATTGAATGCTCCCTTAATCCCACATACCTAATCCTGAGCTACTGCAGGACACTTGTTAAAAAGTAAAGCAGCACTGGAGTACATTGGACTGAGAGCTGAAACTTTCAAACCAGTTGCCCTTCTGCTACTTTAATTTGTGATGTCAATGCAGGTATTTAACTTTTAACAAGTGATGGAAAACATGCTCTGACATGAAGGTATAACCCAGGTCATGCCTATACATTTCATGGTCATGGTCCAAAATGGGGTGGCGGGTCCATTATGAATGGAACACAAGTGACTCAAAAAACAAAACAAAAAAAACAAACATTTTATTTTGAAGTGCAGTGAATTTCCGACACAGAGCTTTTATTTTGAAGTGCTGTTTCCTGCTGTAGAGTGAGTGACTAATGGACAGCTACTTAACAGAGACAGCAAACTAGCTCAAAGACATGGCCAAACTCATGTATGATGCTGAATGTATTACACTGTGTGGACCTTGAACTAATGACTAAGGAGCAATCTGGACCCCTGTCTGGACCAGTTGGGACCCACTATTAACTGTACCTTAGCAGCTGTTTACCTGTTTCAATCCCAGGGATGCGGGTGGTGTTAAATATCCTTTCCATCTGAGTGGAACACATAGGGACGGTCCCCAAAGCCCTCAGCTGAGAAGGAAAAGGAAATGAAATCATCAGAGAGAGGAATGAAGTGTGTAAAGGGGGTTTAAGGGTTAAGGAAGAATGGCAGTAAAGTCACAGCAAGCATTACCGGTGCATGTTCACCACGTTCCAGTTTGCGTCTGTACTGCAGCATAGCATGAACCACGTTCCCTGCCCGAGCAGCCTGTCGGTGTGTTGGAGTCACGTACAAGAGGTCCTAATACATTCATCACGAAGACAAAGCAGACACATACAGTCAACACAAAAAGTAAAAAAAAACCTCCACTGTTAGGACAGGCTGATCTAGTGTCAGTCTTACCATTACATAGAAGTTACTGTTCACCATGATAGGACCCCTGCCCCTGAGGTAGATGTACTCCTCCCACCAGTCACTCACCTAGAGAAGATAACACATCATTACTGTATAACATTATGATTCAGTTGAATTTCATTCCCAATGTTGTATTATTT